TTATTAAGCCATTCATTCTGGAAATACTTATGGTAGCAGAATATTGAAGGCATCAGAACGAAATATGAAGAATTATAGTCCTATGAAGTTAGAATTGTTGGCTCTGAAATCAATTTCGTTTGTGCTATTTGGATACCTCCAAATTGGGTGCTACATTAATTCGTTGGGGGCCCAGTTGTTCCAGTGTTCTGGTGAGCATGAAGAAAATGCAGATGCACTGAGTCGTACATGTGCCCTTGAGAGTGAGGTGTGTTCATCAGTCCAGCCAATCGAAATAGAGGTATTTTTGAAAGAAAATGTAGCTTGCTGCTAGTTAACTCATTCCGGTTGAATTTAGGAAGGCAATTGAAAGTTTAGTTTCTATGAGGTCAGTAGGATTACATATGATATCAATGAATGATTCATTAAATACGCCACCTTCCATTTCATCACATCAGACATCTTCGCCAGCCAAGGACATTTATTCGGCCGCAGCCTCAACATTAACCTTTGGCAGATTTCACAACGATTTACTGCATGTTGCACGCCCTCAAACGATTATAAGATTCACTAGGGCTCAATTAATTTACCCAATCAGAACTCACGATAGAAACGACGTATTACATGGTAAAATCGTGGAATCATTCAATAATCTCGCTGGTCATCAGGGTAGGGAAAGTACTCTGGCTTTGGCGTAGGTTTAAAACTAATAAGCTATTGACCTGTCTACTTGTATGTTATGGATGTAGAGGCAATGTGTAAGTCACGTGATCGTTGTTTACTATCAAAATCATCTATTCCCCGGATTATAGCATTAACGGCTAGTTTTTTTGGCATTTAAATCATTATACAGTCTGGTTATTGATAGCTCAGTATTGGAATCTAAGCAAGAAAAACGAACATTGTTCATAACGTTTTCATATTTTTGGGATTTAAGAAACTATGTCATGGCTATATTCATTCATCGAAACACACACGTACTATATCTTTCTCAGTTAATTTTCTTTGAAAAAATCATCTTTTTCAACTGGTAATTCACGTTTCTCAGCTGTATTACATAGTCAAGCTGCCCTTTTTGCACCCCGCTCGTTGCTGGGTAGGTTACGCATGCGCAATTAGAATTACATCGCGTCTGTTGGTAATTCTGGAATTGTTATTTGTGACCGGCGACACTGATAAGTTCT